AAAAAAAAAAAAAAAAAAAAAAGAATGATGCAAAACCCACAAAAATTAAGTACAGCATACTTTCCCAGGCTATACAGAATAACTTGGCGGTTTTGAAAATTCATAAATAGAAAATTTTGAAAACCTTTAATGCTGCCAATATATATTTATTTTTAAATAAGGTGGATTTTACAGATATCTAACTTAACATTTGTTATTAACAAAATAACGAAACCATATAGGCGGCTTGTTAGACATACATGCAGAACGTGATTCAACTTGTTTGCAGATCTGAGATGCAACCCATCCACATATAAGCCATACTTTACACACAAAACTTCAGACCTGCCTAGACCCCAGTAAAATGTGACGCAGTATATCAAACACGAAAGATCGTGTTTGACCGCATTTCCAGACTCCGAGACGAGTTGAAAATACGACGCTCAGCGGAGTATGTTTGATCAAAACTCCGAGATGTTTGGAGATGTGGTTAAACACTGTCTTGAGTAATTGATAGATCTTCTCAATCGAAACTAAACTGAGGAAAAAACGGATAAATAAAATCGTGAAGAAAAACTCTATGCTAATTAAGATCAGATATCCAAACAGAGTCACGGTCACGATTTCCTTTCTTTAAAATTGATGAATTAATCATGAGTTTGAGAAGGGGAAAAAAACCAGCTTCTAAGCTAGTTCAACATATTCATCCTTTGTTCATTAGTTACCTGTCCTCCAGAGGCAAACGTGAACTCCGTTGGTTGAGCAGTGGCTTGCTGTGCTTGCTGTTGAGCCTGCTGTTGTGCCTGTTCAGCGGTCGTCTGTGTAGGTTGCTGGCCGGCCTGTTGTTGCTGTGTCGTTTGTTGTGGTGCTTGTTGTTGACCCTGCGACTGCTGTTGTTGTTGCTGCTGTTGTTGAAGTTGTTGGATCTGCTGCATGCGGATGTACTGCATTTGAGCTGAATTAAAATGGATCTGCGAACAATCGAAAAAAAAAAAACATTGTAAATGGTTTGCACCCAAGAGTGCAGTAAAAACCCGTGTGTTTACAAGAACCTGCATTTTTTTGAAGTCTGGCAAAATAGTTTCCTGCATTTTGGGGTAAATATCGGCAATTTAGGCTAACAATGTTCTTAATTTCTATGGATGAGATATAGTTGTTGATTACCAGAAAATAATACATAAACTTGGGTTTTGGTTTCAGTAAACGTCTCTGGCAAGCCAAAAAGAGGTTAAAGAGAAAGAGGTTAAGTTATTTATGAGAGAAATGTATGTAGTTATGTGGTGTAAATAAAATAGTTAAGTAATGTACGAGATAAATAGTGAAGATCATATGTACACTGTAAGTAATATTGGTGTCAACTGTAAGTGATAAATGATATAAACACTAGTGGTGCAGAAAACAAATAAAGTGTATGATATTATGAAAAAAACACTTAAACAAAAGACACCCAGGTCTACTCACTGGATACTGCACATCAGTTTGGTCTTGTGGCTGGTTCTGTATCATCTGAGCTTGTCCTGGCTAAAGTAAAATACTTCACTGTGTTATACATACTGGGTGAAATTGTCATTCAATTGTGCTTCTCACAAGTGCAGTCTCAGATACTTAAAAAACTGGGTGGCATGAATATAAATATATAACAAGCAGGCCTTTGAAAACAAGGTATGTACAATACACACTTGACATTGCACCTCAAGTTAAGGAAAGTGAATTTTTGACACAAAAACAAAGCGTTTTCAGAAAGATCTAATAAAGAATTAGTCCTCAGAGAACTATGGTTTATTTTTTTACTGTGATCAATTTCCTAGAGATTAGCCCCACCGGGTTTCTCCCTATAATGACCTCTGTGAGGAGGCTCTGGCTGAAAGGGATAGGGTACCTTTTTCAGCCTTCAGGTATATGAAAGGGTAGGGACTTCACAAATTGAGGTATAATAAAGGGTAAGGAAATCTGTCATTTAGATATAACGTGAACAGGAACTGAATAAATGAGAGTTTAACCTGTCTTTTTTGGTTAACATCTCCTCTGGCAATGCTTGATGTTCTCCCATGGATAACTTATAATTATTTTGTTTATTAACTTCATTCCAAGGGTTTAGACAAAGGATGCAGTGTTCTTATAAGGTAGTTTAGTGAAAGGGGTACCTTTTCTCAATAAAAGTTATGTGAAAGGGGTACTTTTTCTGTCAAAATGGTATACAAAATGGTAAGGGGTTGGACCTCAGGGCAGGGCATCCCCGTACAAAACATTGTGGAGGAGACCCCGAGGGATTCACCTCAGGAAACCTACGTGTAACTACCCAGAAACCATGTGGACTGCATGTGCAATGTACTGAATGTGCTGCATGCAACAGCTTTCAAACTTACTGCCATGGTAACGATCTGCTGCTGTGGCACGCTAGTGATGATAGCCTGCGGCTGTGTGCTGACGGTTACTTGCTGTTGTTGAACTTGCGTTGCCATCTGCTGCTGCTGTTGTTGTTGTGGTGCCTGCTGCGGTGCTTGTTGTCCTTGTTGTTGTTGTTGCTGTTGCTGCTGCATGGAGATGGCCTGATGCTGGGCCAGTTGAAAGTAGTATTGTACTTGATCTGGGGCTACTACCGTCTGACGTATTGGGTCCTGACAAAAACGATGTTAGTTTTAAACAGTTTAAGACAAAAGCAGATATGAAATAAAGCATTTCTTGGACAAACACCTTGTACCAGAATATCTTTAAGTAGACCAAAGTCCTTTCGCATTTTCTAAAAGCCAAAGATATAAATAGTTGCCTGAAATAACACCAAAAACAATTTCCCCTGGGAACTCAAAAAAATAAATTCAATGTTCAGAGAAATTGTGCAACCACAGGTAAAATTTCACTAGATATCAGTTTTATTTTACTAGTACTTTCAAGTGTTTCATATGAACTTCGAAATTTGTTTCTGACATTTGGTGTTGTTAGAAATGATTTAATCTTTTGAGAAGATTTTTTAAAACAGTCACACAGAAATTTTCAATACAATGTAAATAACCACAGTACAAAGTTTTTGTCTGCTTGTTACTCAAACTTTTGGTGGACTCCTTCTTAATTGTCAGCTACACATTGAAGTTACCTGTCGTTTGGGAGGTTTGAGTTCATCTCTTGGCACAATATCAATGAGAAAATCAAACTGATCAAACTTGGTTATTGCCATGGCAATGTCATTTCTCTGAAATTATTAACAGAACAGTACAAAAGTCAGTTTCCCTTTAAATTTCAATAATGCAGTTTTCAATTGAGTTTCGTAAAACCAAAACCAGAGTAATCAATCTGGCCAATCACAATTTACGCAGTCAGGCAATCCACTGAACCAATCAAAACTTGAAGGAAAAACATGTAGCTGATGTAAAATGAGGGCGAATCATGATTGGATGAAAAAGTTTCAGGTCAAGTTTTCACGCCAATCTTGTAGTGTAGTATTGTAAAACCAATTACCAGGGCTCGTACCCTTTTTCAGAAACAAATTTCCAGGACTCAGATTGATTTTTCCAGGACTCTAAAATTCACATTAACCCTTTCACTCCCATTATCTTAATGTTAATTCTCCTTACTGTCTGCCATANTCCAGGACTTTCCAGTCCTGGAAAATGCCACAATAAAATTCCAGGACTTACCAGGTTTTCCAGGACCCGTACGAACCCTGAATTACTTTTTGACACTCAAGTGAAAACTGATCAGTCTATAATGCTAGCACGCTGGATTTTCTGAATTTTTCTCAAGGACCCTGAGTTTAAATAAATTACATGTCCCTTTTTTAACTCTTTTCGTGATTTTCTTGAATTGAAATGAGAACAAATAATACTGGACATTTGTCCCAAGTGGGACAATTTCCTGAAATTAAGTGTAGTTATAGTTCTAGCTGATTAACTGGAACATTTCTGATTTGTTCATTAACAAGAAACAAAAAATTATGAATCATTTATGAATCATTAAATAAACTGACTTTAATTAGTAAATGATCAAACCTCTTGTAGTATTAAAGTGTAAGTCTTGATTTTAACCAAAAGGGGTACAGGTTTAGCAAAATATCAATAAAAGAACTAACTAAGATAAATTATATACCTGTAGGGTTCTTCTCTTGTTATCTTCTGTGTGTATCCAGGCTCTGAGAGACAACTCATTTATAAAAATCTGAGCTGCTTTTGCAAACAAAACTGGGGCCTAAAACAACCAGAGGGAAAAAATCAAACTTGCCTGATATGCTACCAAAGCATACCAAAAAAAAGGTATGATTAGGTATTTGAAGCACTTTGGGTACGAGATGATTTCCAGGCCACTTTGATCAGTCTATCAAGGTATTATAAGTGTGGACTTACACCTGTAGGGCTTTACTGATCAAATTTCTACTGTACAGGTACATGTGCATATACCTCACTGGTTATAATATAATGCANATGTGAGGAAAAGACAACAAAAGTTGTCAGTAAGGGTGCTTTAATGGGTCTCACATAGTAAGGGGAAAAGCTTCTATTTTGTGGGTTTCTCCAAGGTCTTTTTTGGTCTAAATTGAGACAATATTAATGGTATAACAGCACCTTCTGCTGTGTTATTTAGCATAACAAAGTGGCAAACTCCCAGTCTGACTGGCTTGTGCCCTACTCCTTGATTGTGCAGTTCCAGAAAATATCCATACTCCCCCCACCCCCCTCACAGAAGGGATTTGATTTTTCTGAGGGTGAGGAGTTCTGTAAGACCAAAAAATTTGAAGAACTGCATGAAGGTCAATAGGAATTTCCAGAGGGGTGGGGGGTCTTATAGAAAATCCCTTCCATGGGGGGTATGGATATTTTCTGGAACTACACGTTGATTTCCAATCATTCAGTTTAAATAAATCCTGATCATGTGGAGAGGATAACAGCGAGCATTTTAATATTGCCACAATCAGTGTATAAAACAAATAATATTGTACTATTTTTTGAAGATAATAAAGCAAAAAAGGAAATAATATGGTGACTGTATGATGACTTCACAAAGTACATTGTAAAATAATGCTTTTACCATCAATGCATAAGCATTACCTTACAATGTACATTGTACAGCTGCATAACAACAAACTTCCATATGATATTTGTTACAGTCACATGAAAACGTTCACCTCCTTTAACCGATCTTAACAGCTCAAGCCTCTAGAGATCAGCTTGTGTTAAAAGATCGTACACGCTGCGAGCTTAAATCGATTGTGACAATTTTTATTTCACAGAACAATGTCAACACCTGTCTGCCAAACGTTTAAATTTGACTAATATACGAGTCGAAATAAACTTCTTTCATGGAGCGAAAGACAAACTGTGCGAAAGAATTCAAATAAATTATGTAAAACAAGGAAGCCAAACTATCAAGACAAGTATTGAAGTGAGATCATTGAATTCAGGCAAACATCTGCTACTATTCGCCGGCAGGTCCGCGATAAATAACGACAGAACATGTGGCTAGAAAATTAAGATTATTAGTTGAAAGGAGTTACTCCAAAACACTTACCGATGGTGCATAGACCTCTCCCATATCTATATATTGTCTTGAAACAACAAATACGGGAAAAGCAGAAAAAGGATCGCTCAATTTCCGCTCCACACAACGCCGTTTTCGCTGTTCACAGCTTTTTGTCAAAATGGCGTCGCTCTTATTCTCGCCCCAGACCCTCACAGTGTTTTGCGGTGCGATGAGCACTATGGGTAGAGGACCGCCATTTTGTTCTTCCTTGCAGTTTTGACCAAAAATGTCCGCAATGGATACCTCAATGGCCTTCAAGACTTGGGAGATGTCAAACAGCATTGAAACAGTCAACAGTGTGGATGAAATTTTTAAATACGACCGTCAGCAACAACAAGAAATTCTTCAAGCGAAACCGTGGCAAAAAGAGTGAGTCGTCTTTAGAACTACAAATTAGTCTTAACTGACTTAAGGTCAATTGTTTAAGCTTGTCTCATCTTTTGTCTATATTTCATATTTTTATTTTTCAGTCCTCACTATTTCAAGAACATTAAAATCTCAGCGTTGGCGTTGTTGAAAATGGTAGGAATTTTTTTGTTTGTTCTAATAATACAATTGTGGTCATGGGCTATTTTGTAGAGAATTCGTCGTAAAATAAGAACTTAAAATATATCATTGAGCTTTAAGCCAAGCAAAAACAGGTAAGAACAGTTATGGGAAATCTAGTTGCTTGGACAACTACATATTCAAACATGCATGGCTTGGCTTTTGTTCAAAACTGGGTTAGTTTATCCATTTGTACTCAAATTTGGAATCAGGTATAAATCAGAAGTCATCACTTATCTACCTTCATGTTATTCTACGACGACAAGTCGCTGTCAGGAAATCCTACGTTTATGACATCACGGACAGGCTAGCAAAAAATGACAAATTCCAGTGCTGGAAGTAACAGTCAGTCTTTGGACAATGTTCAACCGAATCTGGAAATTTCCCAACTAATTTTATGTAATGATCGGACATCATGACCAAGGACCAACTGACTTAGCTTTTGGTACGTTGTGAAGCTGAGATTGAGTCATCAGATTGTTGGAATTAGCACCATAAAATACGAAATTACTAATGTTTTTTCAAATTTTATGTCTGGCCAATAATAATAATTTTCATTAAGCAGTCCTGCTGCTTAATGAAAATTATTTCTAGCACTGAACTTGGTGAAAACTGTTGGAAGACTTTACTTTCAGGACTGTACATGCACAGGTGTTAACAAAATTGTTAGCTAGAAAATCAAATTTCCCTGTTCTTGGTGTTATCAACTCAGACTAGATCTGTGTTAGTGAACTTCTAAAGTGAAATAAGGCATGGGACTGTATTTTGACTCCTGTTAGAACCAACCCTGGTGATATAGTTCTATATCTTTCACTGATTGCCTTCAAATGAAAACACTAAGTTTATACATTGATTTATCAGGTAATGCATGCCAGGTCAGGCGGTACGCTGGAGGTCATGGGACTGATGCTGGGTAAAGTTGATGGCGACACAATGATTGTAATGGATGCATTCGCTTTACCAGTGGAGGGAACTGAAACAAGAGTGAATGCACAAGTTGCAGCTTATGAATACATGGCAGCTTACATTGAGTCAGCTAAACTGGTAAGAAGGTTTGCTAATGTTTTATTGACTGCAGTCCTAACTCAACTTACTTTGTAGCCTCAACTTTATTTGATCTGCTAATAATGATTGTTATAAGTTACAAGTAGTATGCAAGTAATACAGTATCCGCTTGTTTTTTCATATTAGGTGGGTCGTTTGGAGAATGCCATTGGCTGGTACCACAGTCACCCTGGTTATGGCTGTTGGTTATCAGGAATTGATGTTGGCACTCAGATGGTGAACCAGCAATTTCAAGAACCTTTTGTAGCTATTGTGGTCAGTATGACAATTTAATTGTATAAACAANTAACTTGAAGAAGACCTTATTGACACTTTCTTGTTCTTGCCATTAATTGAAGTGATATATTTTGTCCTAGATTGATCCTACAAGAACTATTTCAGCAGGAAAAGTTAATTTAGGAGCATTCCGAACCTATCCAAAGGTAGGATGAAGCTATTTTATAGCTTAATTATCATCATCTTGTTAATTAGGTTGGTACAGAGCCAGTGACAACAAACCAACCAATTTAAGGGAGGAGGAGAGGAGGGATGAGCTGATTCCAATCTTAAAGAGTTCTTTGGGAAAAAATAATACTGAAGTTACACATCTTGCTTACACTTATACCTGCTATCCTCTACAGTTGGCCAATACTTAGTTGTTGTTCAGTTTTGCACTGACAGTTGAGTATTCATGTTGTTTTGTGATCACCAAATGTATTTATAAATATGTACAAAATGAAGGTCCTTGGTTGACGGTGGAATATTGAAGACTAGTCTAGTCCCTGTTGAATTAGCACCAAACAATGTTCTTGTTAGCACCAAGAATGTTCTTGTTTTGTCTTTAATCAGGGCTACAAACCACCAGATGAAGGGCCATCAGAATATCAAACTATCCCACTGAACAAGATTGAAGACTTTGGGGTTCATTGTAAACAGTAGGTTTCTCAAAACATATATTAAGTACATCCCTGCTTCATGTCTTTGTAACAGTTTAATTAAGAGAAGTAATGGAAGTAAAAAGAAAAACAGTGAGGAAAAACAAAACAGATCTGTATACATGTGCATGTACATGTTTTATGTGACATATCAAACACAAAAGATCATATTTGACCACATTTCNAAACTATCCCACTGAACAAGATTGAAGACTTTGGGGTTCATTGTAAACAGTAGGTTTCTCAAAACATATACTAAGTACATCCCTGCTTCATGTCTTTGTAACAGTTTAATTAAGAGAATTAATGGAAGTAAAAAGAAAAACAGTGAGGAAAAACAAAACAGATCTGTATACATGTGCATGTACGTGTTTTATGTAATATATCAAACACAAAAGACCATGTTTGACCACATTTCCAAGCACCGAGAAGAGAGTTGAAAATTCAGTGCATAGTGGAGTATTTTTGATGAACTTTGAGGTGTCTGGTACTGTGGTCAAACACTGTCTTGAGTGTTTGGTATATCGTCTTAGTGAAAGCTAAAGCTAAGAAGAACACGGAGAAATAAAATCATAAAAATCTATGGTAAGTAAGATCAGATATCAAAACACCGTCGCAGTCACTATTTCCTTTGTTTAAACTTGATGAATTGTTAATGAGTTTGAGAAGTTTAATGTACCAGTTGCATAACCATTTGAATCTTTACATGTAATTTGCAGATACTACTCTTTGGAGGTTTCATACTTCAAGTCCTCATTAGACAGAAAGCTTCTTGAAATGCTCTGGAATAAATATTGGGTTAACACGCTCTCATCTTCAAGTCTGCTCACGGTAAGTAACAAATCGCACACTGTATATCTCTTTTTATGCCATGCCATAGAAACGACAACCAATCAGAGTACAGGAAAGCGGTCGTATATTAGACGGCATTACATCCATTGTGTTGACCAGTGCATTTTCTAATCTATGACATAGTATAAAATAGTGATGCAAGGCTC